CAATGACAAAATAAAAAATGGAGAATGTGGTTATAAAAGACAGTGAAAATAATAGAAGTTTCACTCTCCTTTCTGGGGGAGGGGGCGGTGAGGAAATCATACTCTATGTCATCTCTGAGAGCAAGGAAATTACAAATTTTCTGCTGAGTTCCAGAACAGGTGATAAGTGCTTGACTTAGAGCCGAGTCATAACTTGTTCTTCCTGTCCATCACCCCATTTGTGCATGAGCAGGTCGCAAGCTTCTCCCCAAGTTTCAAATACATCCTCTGAGGAGTCTAAAAGTTTAGAATTTGAGGAGCAGATGCTGGATGCGCAGTGAAGAGAGCTGGAACAGGCTAGAGGGCATTCACTGCTCTGAGCAGCACCCCGGGTTTCACCTAATTCTACCTCACTGAGGTTAATTTCACTTTGAGAACAGGCTTCTGCTTTTCCTTTCTCCATCTGAGAATATCTGATGTCTTGCCACATATAGTGCTGCTGAACGATTCCATCAGAAATTGTGTGCATTGGCTCTGAACTGGGTTCAGACATATGACCGTTAAACTTGGAGAATAGGAAACCCAATTTCTTGAGAGAAGGACCCATGAAGGAGCATTTGCTTGATGACTCAGCTTTTGACTTCCCTTGGGCACCACTATCTATTGGCATGGTTCTGATGAGAGGTGGCCCATGGCAGGCCTTTTTCTTGCAGCCTAAATTGAAAGAGACACTCTTGGATTTGGCCCGAGCCCCACCACTGCCATCATTGGTATCATCCCTCTGAGAGAGTTCAGGGCTGCTGGTAGAAAAGCTTCTCCTTGAGTGTTTCCTATTTCCTAAGAGGTCAAGCACTTCATATCGAAAGCTAGAGATGTCCTGCTTTAATTCCTAGGGCAAGAGAGAAGACATTATGTTAAGAAGCTTGGTCTTTCGTTCCAAATAGGCACATTGGGTATCCTTTGGAATGTTCCCGGTTTTGCCTAATAGCAAATCACAAAGTACATGAACTACCAGAAAAAAAAAAAAACTCACATTATTCCAGCACAAGAAAAACATAAATCTGTGGGCAGTGATGGCTGTTGGAAAAATTGTGTGATTGATAAAGTTGATTTCAGAATCTCCAAATCAGGAGCACACCAACAGACTCACCCCATGGTAAAACATTAACTAACAAAGTATTAGCTTAGGGCACTGGCTCTCATATAACAGGGCTTAGGGCACTGGCTCTTATATAACAGGGCTCCTGAAGAGGAAAAGCTTTTAGGACTATAAGGAATATTATAAACAAACAAACAAACAAACAAACAAACAAACAAACACCTAAACAAACAAACAAACAAACAAACAAACAAACAAACAAACAAACAAACAAACAAACAAACAAACAAACAAACAAACAAACAAACAAACAAACAAACAAACAAACAAACAAACAAACAAACAAACAAACAAACAAACAAACAAACAAACAAACAAACAAACAAACAAACAAACAAACAAACAAACAAACAAACAAACAAACAAACAAACAAACAAACAAACAAACAAACAAACAAACAAACAAACAAACAAACAAACAAACAAACAAACAAACAAACAAACAAACAAACAAACAAACAAACAAACAAACAAACAAACAAACAAACAAACAACTAGGGAAGTGGAATGTGTCAGATAATGAGGCTGCTATTTTGGGAGAGGGGCCCTATTCATTCAAGTCCCTATGAAATGTCTTCTGTCTCTAACTGGCTGCTCAGGTACTAAATTGTTCCTTTTAAAATCATCTTTTAAAAGCTTAAATCTGAGCATGTCATTCCCTTGCTTAAAGCTCTTTAATAACTTGTGACTGACCTTAAGAAAAAGTAGAAACCCCATACCACAGACTACGAAGCCCGATATCTGTTTATTTCTCTGGTTTCATTTCTTCTTACTCTCCCCAAGCTCTCTACTATCTGCCTGTATAGACATAGTCTCTCTTGCCCGCAGGCCTTTACCTGTGCTATTATCTGTCTAGAACATGCTTCTCCCCAACTTTACTTTATCTGGCTCCTCCCTCAAGCCTCAGCTTAAAACACTGCTTCCTTTGGAAAACCTGCCCTGACTCCGCAAGTCCCAGACAAGTGTTTCTCCATATCACCTTGTGTTTAACCTGTTAGAACACTCAATTGTTACCCTCTATTATTGTGTGTCACTCCATGAGAGTAGGGGCTGGCTGTATCTTACTCACCACTGTAACCCAGCACCTAGTGAGTGCTTGGCACATAGTATGCCCTCAATAAATGAGTTATGTTGGTGGATTAGGATAATGACCTTCCTATGTTCCTTCCTTTATTCTAGCTTAGGGTTTCTCAATCACTTAACATATTGAGCTGGATAATTCTTTGTTGTAGGGGCTATCCTGTGCATTGTAGGAGGTTTTGTAGCAACCCTAGTCTCTACCTACTAGATGCCAATAGCACACATATTGCAGTGTGATAACCAAAAATATCTCCAGACATTGTTAAATGTTCCCTGGAGAACAAAATTGCCCCTGGTCGAGAACCTCTGTTTTAGCCTAGTGCTATATTAGGAGAATGTTTAAGGGTAGGATTTTTCAAATCTTAGATTTAATAATAGATTTTTGGTCTTTATCATATTTTTTTTAAGTAAAGAGGGCCTTTAAATCTCCAGGCATCTTCCCTTTGCTATCTTGCCCCTCACCACACATCCTTGCTACATCATTTCAAGCACTCAATTACCACAGTGAGAAATACCCAGAGTATGAAAAGAATGCATAGGGCAGATTCTTTCATTCATAAAGTTGATTGTGGTAACAGACATTGGTAGAATCTCTCCATCTATTGAATGACAGACTATTCTAAGAGAATAAAAAGTTGTAGCCGGTTTCGCTGTATTATAGGCAGTTGAAATTCCATCACCAGAAACTATGAACACTGTGAAGATTAAATAATGCTTAACAAATGTGAAATGAGAAATTAAACCACTTCATGATTAAATTACCTTAAAATTCTCCTCTGTTAGTCCCTCATTTGTTTTGGAATTTCTTATCATAGCAGCCACATATCTTTTGACCAAATTCCTGATAACTTCCTAGAATTAAAAGAAAAAAACATAAAGAGGCATTCAGTTTCCTCCTTGAGATCTCAGTAAAATAAAAAAAAACATACACAGGAAATAAAATACTTAGATGGTCTTTGCAATAGAAAATCCTCCCAGGATCTAGACATTTTCTGCGAAAACCCAGTTTAGTCCACTGGCTAAACGAAGAATTACTATGTGTTCAAATTTTGTGGCAGGGTGGGCCAGCAATAACAAATTCACCCAAAAGGAAAATTTTCCACCCAAGCATAAGGTGAACATGTATTCACATTTATAGAATAATGAGAATGGAAAAATCCTTGAACAGTCATAATCAATATCCTTTCCCTTCAGGCTGGATTAAACTTTAATTATCCTAGGAAGATGAGATTTTTCCCTTTTTATAAAGTTAAGAAAGACATTCTTCAGTATCACAAAGTCTGCTGATTTCAATGCCCACTAATTACATAATCAAGATATTTTTCTTAGAGTCAATCTACATTTATCCTTTACAGGGATGGCCTCTTTTTACTTAGCTTCCTAAGAATGGCACATACATGGTCACTATGCTTTGTGTTAGTAATAGTGATGATGATAGCTACCACTTAATGCAATGTGTCAGGCACTGTGTCCACCACAAACACACACAATTATACATACATACTTACCACTCAATTCTCACAACACTGTGAGTTAAATTTTATTATCCCCATTTTACAGTTGAGGAAACCGAAGCTCAGTGAGGTTAAGTGACTTGTCCAAGGTCATACAACTGACCAAGAACTATTGTGCTTAGTCTCTGTGAAGAAGCTTTACCTGATAATGTTGATTCTGTATCAGGCTGTCAGCATGGCGTTCCTATAATTTAAAATGGACAGAGAGGTTACATCGTCAATGTCTCAGCAACCCATCTACCCGAATGTATTTCTAAATATTAGGACTAGAGAATAACATAGGAGTTCCTGCCTAACGAAGCCCCAAAACATTTTTGGTCGGAGTGATTTTATGATGTTTAAGATGGGGAGCATTACAAATAATGGAAGGTAGGAAACAGTTTTGTTTAAAAAGAAATACTTTTTAAAAGCCTTACTGTGAAGCTTCTCAAGTTGTGCCTTCTCCGTCTACCATCAGGGTCTCTTTTTGGGCAGAAGGTGTTGTTGAACCAGTTACCGAGGTACAAAAATGACTTGGGACTGGGGATGATGTTAAAAGGAGGTGGCAAGGTGCCTCCTTCATCAAAGTAACTCATCCAGAGCTTTGTTCTAGCAAATTTCCACTCAATATCTGCATGATCCTATGAAAAAGAGAAGTTCAAGAATTTGGGATGGGAAACTCCAAAATGCACCCATGTAAAATTCTAAAACTTCTACTTTGCTTCTATAGAAGGCAATCTGTTAGTAGCTATAAAAATTAAATTACACGTACTCTGTGATCCAGTAATCCTACTTTTAGAAATTTATCTTAACAATATATTTGCAAAAAGATGTATGCATAAGGCTGTTTATTATAGTGCTGCAGCTTGTTAATAGCAAAACATCCAGCAACAATATAAATATCCAGCAGTGGAGACTGGTTAAATAAATGATGTTATATCCATAAAATGGCCTAAAATATAACTATTTAAAATATCTATGAACATTTTATATATAAAACATGTATTATATATAAGTATTTGTCCATATATCTATAAGACCTCCAAGACCTATAAGTGAAAAAGCAACATAGAGAACAATATATATTGTATTCAATAATCCCATTTATGCAATTGAAAAACCTTTCTTTACATGCTTACATGTTCTAGACAGGCACATACTAAACTGTCAACAGTAGTTATTTTTAAGGAGTGGGATTGGTGTGGAGGGGCTTTCTTTTTTTTTTAATCAACATTATTGAGGTATGATTTACACAGAGTAAGATTCACTCATTTTAAGTGTTTGATGAATTTTTACAAATGTATGTACCTGTGTAATCGCCATCATAATCAAGACAGACAGACAGACAGACAGACAGACAGACAGACAGACTCACACACATTCACATAGACACATTGCTGTGCATTT